TAGTATAAGTTTTATAAAAATCTGGCAAGAATTGTACCCGTGAGAGCGCTAACAAGACCAGACGGACACACGGACGGACGGACTGACGGAAGCCCGGTATTTCCATGTCCCCCGCAACGGGTTATGCGGGGGACAATTAATTAAAAAGTGGACATACTAATGCAATAATAGTTTAGGCATATTTTACAGAAAAATTAAAAGCACACATATCAAAGCAAAAACAGTTACATTCCTAGCCATTTCAGGATAGTATGAGACTTAAATATTAAAAGGTGTTTCATCCCTGAAATATTTGAAAAACTTCCCATCAACATAACTTGCGTGCAAAAAGTATGTGCTTAGTCCACATTTATTTACCAGAGACCAGTTTAATGTTTATAACATCAATTAAAGACCACTATGTTGGTTTTCTTCATATTGAAACTTTATGGTAACGGCATCCGTGTTGGTTGTTCTGCAAAAAACACCGGACAGTTTCTGAAACATAACAGCATAACGGTGATTGTGTGAAGATGGGTCATAATTGACCCAATGTTTCTTAAGAAGAGGAATTGTAAAAGACAACAGATATGGACGAACGACAAGCGATAAGTGGTGAATTAAGTCTCCAAAATAAGAAAAATTCTTTCCGAGGATCAATTTAACAGGTATGAAGACAGTGTCATAATTATCGGCAATAACCACCGTCAAGTTGTTGTTAAGCTCTTTCTAAATAATTGTTTAGTCAAGTTTGTCTTATAACTAAAACTTCACTGGAACTGGTTTTGCGCCTTGACCTTATAGATTGACAAGGATTTCATAGACTCTCCTATGACAAAACAAGTAAGTTTAATCTACCAGGAAGTGTCGTGACCTGCCTACAAAATGACATAGAAAGATAAATATGTTAAACCAAACTTTGCACTGCGCTTATATTATCAAAACAAAGTTACGGACTCTCTTGACTTTCTTTGTACGAGTTGGAGTACAAGGAAAACGGGATAGAGGCTGCGTATACATTTGGGAATGCAAAATGGCACATGTTGTACTCATCGCGGAGAAGAACGAGAGTCGGCAAAAACCCAAAACATTCTTTATTCAAGGCCAAAAAACATGAAATAAAATTGAGAATAGTAATAGGTAATGTGTCAATGAGACAACAACCCGACCAAAGAGCAGACAACATTGATTGACACTATTTGCATTTAAGTTCACCTTTATCCTTATCAAACGCCTTTTCATGAGAATAACAGCTACAACAATTTAATCTTGCCTAGAGTCAAATCAAGTCAAGACATCACAAACTATTGCGAATTGAGGTTCAGAAAGGTATTTTAGGGACTACAAAAGACTAGTAGTTGAATTTTAAATATTAGACCTTTTCAACATAAAACCCGAAGAACACGACAAAGAGTCAAATAGATATACCGATTGTTTGTTATCATACAATTTTATAACACCATACAATCATATGTTGTCGATTAAAACTTTATGGAATTCTGATAATTTTCAAAATCATTGCATTGTGTAAACAATCGCTCTGATTCAAACAAGCAGCGCCTGCATATGGAGTATATGTTTCCAAGTTGATACCATGTTCTAGAGCTTGCATTTCCTATCACGATTTCCCTGAAAGAGGGTTGCTGCTTACAAGGAAACTATTGAACCAAGAGTTCCAAGTTGTGAAATTGAAATCATCCCTTCGAATATTTTTCGGACGACATCAGGAGTTGATTGACCGCTATAGAATATTTGTTTCACAGAGTACGACGGATATTTTCCAATTGTCGTAACCACTGTCCCGTCCTCTTTTCCTCGAATGTGACCTACTGAATTAAATTTTTCACCGGGTTTGTTCTTACATCAGTGATACGAGGGGTGCCACATGTGGAGCAGGATCTGCGTACCCTTCCGGTTCACTTGAGATCACCTCCAGTTTTTGGTGGGGTCCCCGTTGCTCAATCTTTAGTTTTTATTTGTTATGGTTTGTGTACTGTTGTTTGTCTTTTCGTCAATTTTCGTTTATTGCTATGCCATTGTCAGTCTGTTTTCGATTTATGAGTTTCAATATCCCTTTGGTATCTTTCGCCTCTCCCTTAATAACTTTACTTTGTAAACTGGATTTAAAAAATGACTGGTATCTACGTTTATCTTAATTCTATAGAGACACGATGAAACAATTTTCAATTACCAACCAAGTCTTTAGTTTTCTATGTTGTCATTTGTAGACTGTTGTCAGGTTGTTTTGAATTTCACCGTATTAGATAAAAAAGACAAATAAATATTTACACCGTATGAGATTTAAAAGTCAACTATTTATAGGTTCATCATGTCAAAGAAAACGTACTCGTGCATGATTTATATATCCTCAAATAAATCGCAGATAAGAAGAAAAATACTGGAACTGGAACACCATAAATCAAACAAGCACTTAACCTCGTTCGCTGATTTGTCAACTTTAACCCTTACCCCGTAGGCGAGATAATCTGCAATATAAAGTCTTCGACTGTATGCTTAACAACAACTAATATCTGGAACAATGCACGCAATCTTCTCCAATGTCATTTATTTAGTGAGTATATGTTATACTACAGATAGAATGAAGACATGTTTTATTTTCAAATCAATTGAATAATTGGTGAGGAACTTTCCGTTTTGAATTTTCCTTGGAGTTCAGTATTTTTGTTGTTTTACTTTTTGTATTTCAATTAGTTCTTTCGGAAATCTGCTTTCTATATTTTGCTTCCAAATATCAGTTCAAAAGTTTAAAAATTAGGAGAACTTAATTCATACATGGATGTTTGGATGCTATGAATACATAAAGATATGAACTATATAAAAATAAACCAATTTTTACTTATTTTGTGACAGAAAAAATGTGGTTATCAAGATAGAATAAATGAATGCATTCCAGAGATTAAAAAAAAAAACAATATGATAAGTGATACGGTAATAAAAGCTTGATAAAGAAATAAATATAAAGTTTTTATACATATTACACATGATTTAAAATTTAAAAACATTTTAAAGAAGAATGTCTAGGGATGTAATTCGAATATGATTGAATTTTTTAAAGTGTATATATACCGATTATCAGGTTGTCTGCATATTGATATCGTAAAATATCAGCTGCGAGTCACAATATGAAGCTTTATGTCGAGTGAGTGCAGCGAAAGAGATAAAAAATGCTTCATATTGTGTCGAGCAGCTGATATTTTACAATATAAATATGCAGATAACCAGATAATCGATTTATCGGGTTGTAATTGCGTATTTTGCATGATAGAAACAAGTGTTTTTTTGTGTCCCAAGCAAACCGGAAGGTGACGTGATAAGTTTGGGTCAAACTTATCAACGTCGGTTCATATATTGTGACGTCAGTGATATGTCTTGGTCAAAGTTATTAAGGCCTGGTCAACGTTTTTGACAAAACAGAGCCTTGATCTGCAATTTTATTAGTAGCTATGCAGAGCGATACAGACAGTGGGACGACCGATAATCAGAATTTATTGCGATGTTTTTATCATTGCAAAAATTGCAACGGGATTGGTCTCGCGAAAAAAAACCTCGCATTTGAAATTTGTATGCAGCATTTCCCGAAAAAGTAATAAGTTATCTTCATTTTGTTTCATTGTTAAACAATCACAATAATTGCCCGCTATAATTTCTGAATTTACATTTTATGAAAAAAAAATATCGACAACTGTACATCAGAGTAGATTTAATTCATGTAGCAATTTCATTGCATGAAAAAGCATGATGGACAGTAGGATGGCATGAGTTCAAAGTATTTGGGTTTATGCAGTGGTTTGAGCTTTCTCTCAATCACTACGAAATTTGTATACGGTACTATTGATTATATTTTTGCTGTCAGTTTTTTTGTGTCGAAAATTGCGGTTCACGTGCACGTGATTGCGTTTTTGATAGTTCCTTATTTGAATTGCATTATTAAATGAAATCAATTTGTGAATTACGATTTAAAATAGCAAAATCAATAAATTTAAGGAACTGTTCCTTAATGTAAAAATTGATTTAAAAAAAGTGTTATGTCAAGTACGAAACATATGTCCATGCCAGCACAACCTATATGTCTTGCGAGTTTTTATTCGATAATGTTATTTGTATTTGTATTCAAAACTAAAACTAAAATTCAAAACGAAAACAAACAAATGTCAACAGAGATCAAATGAAAATGCCAATGTTACCAAATTGGGTGGGTTGGAGAGTAGAGCAAAACGACAAAAAAAAAGGAAGTCGGACAATACCTTGGCCAATATGAAACGGAACAATGACAAACAAAACCATAGAAAAGTTCATGTCTCGTTGATTCGATATGTGCTTGTTTGCAGTGGCGTATGAGAAGTTAAGATAATTTTGTCATCAGTTCAGTCTATTTATTATTATGTAGTGCTGTTACACTACTATCCTAGATTATGCGGTGTTAAGCGCTCATTCACCTGTTTAACCAATCTAAATTCTTTATGTACCTTTCCCAAATCAGGGGTCATTATTCAAGCGTTCTCGCTCCTTTTGTTGTCCTTTCAAGTCCCTCAGATTTTTTTTCCGGATTTTTATCTCTTTAATTGATTTATAAGATTTGAATATCTGTAAAATACTGTTGCCTCTAATCTATATAGCCTTTATAATATACGCCTTGGTATTGTTTCTGTCCAGTCTTTTATGGAAAATTGTATCAATGACAACCATACTGTATCTCCTTATTTTTATTTAGTGAAGTATTCAATTGGATAAGCCATTCTTAAATATTCGATTTATTCTTACTACGGTAGGGAATGGGCTTTAATGGACAATTAAACATAAGTAGCTAAATAAAATTCAGTTACTTCTAGTAAATGATTTTAGTTTACATACTTCCTGATCTCATTAAACAATAGCTTGTCCAATTGATAGAATATATCAAGTGTAAATTATACCTTATTGGTTTTTTTTTTCTATATTTTGTAGGTATTTTTTGGACTCTTCCAAATAGACTATACAATACAACACAGTAAGTATAAACTATGCCAGACATTGTTACCAGTAAAAAACAATTGGATAAACAAAGCAAAGAAATACACAATGTATCCAAAAAAGTGCAAAACAAAAAAATATAGAATTGTTGGGGAAAAAGGAAGACATTATTGTTTTACTTCGAAAACGACTTTCAACTTTTTTTCCTCTATAAAACGTATATATTTATCAATACTTTTAAGAAACTACAATGTCTTAATTAGTCATTGTGAAAATAAGCTTACAAATTCATTTTGCCTAATATTTGTCCGTTCGTCAGCACGAGAAAAGCCAGGGTTTTTCTACCAAGGTTATTCCGCCAGGGTAGTACGATGCCAGCCTTGCTTTCCATAAAAAAATAACTCATCAACAATAATAGGCGTATAATTCGTCCACCAAACGCGCGTTCTAAATACAAAACAATCATCAGTAAACGCAAATTTGAATTTGTATGGAAACAGGTTATCTTATCCTCGTCCCTTTCAAATTAAACTGCTAATTTCGACCAGAAAGAACATCTTGATAAATTGTAACATATATTGTTGATAATTCAAATGAGTAAAATGTTATCAGTATAATTTTGTACCTTTTCAGCTCCGATACAACTCCGAGGAGGTAAAAACCGACTACAAGGGAGAGTTGAAGTGTATCATAGTGGACAGTGGGGTACAATATGCGATGACAAATTTGATCAAAACGATGCTAGAGTCGTTTGCCGAATGATAGGATTAGAAGTACTGTAAGTACCAACACTAACTTGAACCCGTATATGCATAGGCTTGTTAGCAAGAATATACAATCTACCAAAAAAAAACTATCAATATTTCAATAAACAGTAAAATCAAAACTTATCGTAATATTGCATCTTTAACTTAAAAGACCTCATCAGAAGGGTATTATGCCATGTCTGCATCTTTTCGTGACATTTATACAGGTTGTACTATATTAGAATTATAATTCAATGAGACGGAATCCCTACATAAAACATGTAAAACTAATGTTACTTAGTACAGGATAATATTTATCGCTGGTTTAACAATTGATCTCTTTGTGTTTCCTTTCATAGCTTTAATTGTGCTTGTAAGGAATATTTAAATTTGTAAATAGTCATTACAAACTCTATATTCATTTTGTTGTAGACGACATTTCAATTACATTTCTATATGGAAAAGTTGTAAAAATCAGAAAATATATTTTGAGTCAAATACTGCTTACATTTGTCCTTGTTTAAACACAAAGCTCTACGTATATTGAGCAAAGACTATTTAAGATCTTTAATCAACACCACATTCTTTTAACATCAAATTAAATCGTATATCAGATGTTTAGAGAGTATCATGCTGTTTTCATGTAAATGAAAACTTTCAACTGTTAACTCACAATTTCACGAGTGTCTACAGGTAGCTTGGCGTAAGTCAAAACTTACATGTATAACGACGGATATGATCCAATTGTCGATAACACAATTATGTCCTCTTTTCCTTGAATGTGGCGCCACTGAATTAGACTTATCGCCGATTTTGTACTCACACGAGCAGTACGATGTAATGTGGAGAAAGATTTACTTACCCTTCTGGAGCACCTGAGATCATACCCCATTTGTTGGTGGGGTTCGTTTCACTCAGCCTTAATTTTTCTATGCGGCTTTTTTGTAGATTGTTGTTTTTCTTTTGGTTATTTTTCGAAATTTGTCATGGCATTGTCATTTCGTTTTGACTTATGAGTTTGACTATCCATTTGATTTGTTCTATTCCTCTTACTCCTTTTACAAGATAACCGCAAACTTCAGTGGTTGTCCTAGATTTTCTCCCGTAATCTAGAAAACTTCTTTGTAGAGTTAAACAAGTTTTGGATTGCTTAGTTATTACCTTTGTCGTCGGCTGAACAGTTGATAACTTTGATATAAAGTTTTAACTGGAAGCGATGTAAGGAATGACAATAAGGTACATAGATGAAAGCACGTTTAAGATTATTCTACGGAAAATTATTTGCATCCATAACGTCTGCATAATATACGACGAAAAAGTTAATTGAGCCTCGCTTCTTGAGCTCACGAGTTCACTCCTGGTTTATTAATGTAGGATGTTTGGTTTTTAATCCTTAGTTTTCTTTGGTAGAACTTTGTAGTTTTGCGTTTGTCTTTTCGTTCTTTTGTTTTTGTTCGGTCATGATGCTTCTGTTCTTTTTCTAATATGATTTTGATGGACAATTGGGCTCTTCTGATTTAAAAAAAGTGGTTAAATGATTCATTTATAATTATCTTGCAATATGTGGTTCATAATTTCATCCGATTCCACACATGACAAGTTCTGAAACATAATGTGCAGTTTCAATTGCTATTGAACAGTTGTTAAATGATACACTAATGATCTTGTTTCTCTTTCTTTAGTATCTTTAGCCCATTCAAAAGAAAGATAAGTGGTTGGAGACTATATCCATATTCTCCATTTCTACACACCTACTAAAATAGAAACTTAACATATCAAGAAGTTAAAGCATCATTTTTTTAATCTTGCATTCGATAAGAGCATATTATAATAACATGATTAAGCAAATGTTTTATCAAGTATTGATCCAGCGGCGTTTTACTATGATACATATCTATTAACTGTGATTTATAACAGTACAAGATAACATTACAGATATCACTTAACCTTATATCAATATCGAAAATGATTCCAGCCAATACATTAAACACTCAACTATGCGTTCAAAAGTTCCGTTTTCTCTAATTATAAATTTTTACAATACATCAATAAAATAGATATAAACCCCCAACCCCTATATTTATCAAAATTTCATTTAATTTGTGAACATGATTTTTTGTATCTGATAAAATATTTTGAAGTGCAGCATAACGGGTAGGTAAATTTTAAATCCCATCGGAGACAAACTGACTCTCAAAGAAATGATTATATAGATAAGTATTGTCACAAAATGTGATATTGATCCCCTTAAAAGGTGTTGAAGCAGCAGAGAAAGAAGGATGTTAAACTTAATATTGACTGGATAATTATATGGTAAATTTATCAGTCTAACGCTTGCCGATTAAAAACAAATATAAAGCTATATATTTTGTTATTACAGGCACCCGATATTTAGGAGAGGTACACCAGGTACCGGACGGATTTGGATGGATGACTTAGAATGCAACGGCGAGGAAACAGATCTTACAGGTTGTTTATTTTCAGGATGGTCACACCATAATTGTAAACACAAGGAAGATATCAGTGTAAACTGTGGTAAGAACGCAAAACGATCTACATGAATTGACTTCAGGATGTACTTAGGTGAAATTTAAAAAAAAACTAGAATTCAAAATTGATACTTTAAGTTGGAAGAACATTAGTTAAGGAACAAAATAAGCTAAAAGTATTGATAGGTTATGGAGCTCCTTTTCGATATATTTGATTTTTAAAATATGGCGGGAAAATGCTGACTCGGACTTTTACCTTATATTTGCATTGGTATTATTGGGTCTCAAATCGAAAGAAAAGAAATCTAGAATCTGCTTAAATTTGATAAATGACCTTTTATGAGCTATTGAAGTCTTATATGAAAAAAAGAAAAAGAAAGAAAAATGGATGTCATGGGGCAAAATATTTTACCCTGTATTGAAGGAAAAAACCAAGGAGTCCGAACATCTGACACAAATTCCTAAACCTCACCTAAGTACATCTTTAATTGCAATGTATATTTAAACATATTGAAAAGAGAGTACACACATTTGAACGGGAGCTAAAATGTGAACTTATCGCAGTTTCCGAGTTATAAACGTTTTGCAAAAACTGAAACTAGGGTATAAAGATCATTTCAGAAAACTCGTTGATAGGATTCTTAAATTACCAAGGTTATGTGAAATATATGCTAAAAACCGGATCATTGAAAGCCAAAAACCAAACTAGTTGATTTAAAAGAAAACTTTATTGTATTTGTATCTTTACGGACGTCAGTTGGTATTTTTAGTGTCGTAAATTGGGTTTACCTGGATTTACCTTCATCAGGACCGCTGAAGGTCAACTTTCAACATATTAAAAAGAGAGTACACACATTTGAAAGGGAGCTAAAATGTTAACTTATCGCAGTTTCCGAATTATAAACGTTTTGCAAAAACTGAAACTAGGATACAAAGATCATTTCAGAAAACTCGTTGATAGGATTCTTTAATTACCAAGGGTATGTGATATATATGCTAAAAACCAAATCATTAAAAGCCAAGAACCAAACCAGTTGATTTAAAAGAAATCTTTATTGTATTTGAATCTTTACGGACGTCAGTCGGTATTTTTACTGTCGCAATTTGAGTTTACCTGGATTTACCTTCATCAGGAACTCTCAAGGTCAACCTTCGATCTGAAGGCTCAACTATAAATTAACCTTCAATAAACCTTAGGGTTAAATAATACCTCAACTGAAATATAAAAAAATATATTGCCTTAAACATAGCTTAAGGTTAACCTCATTCTTTCGGTAAATGCACGGTCATTTTTTTTACTTTAAATTAACCTTAAGGCTTCCCCAACCTTTCATCTGAATCTTTAATAACAAAAACTATTATCGGTAGATCGGTCGGGTATCCAACCGCTAATAATGACCATACCGACCCAGGACTTTTTTACCCTACGGACTTAGTCGAGCTTGCTATAGGTCCATACAAATTGCAAATATCATCGCAAAGGCCTTGGCTAATTATCAAAAGCCTTCCACGTCCCATCTTAAGGCAGGAAAACACGATGAACCAACCCCAAATCCAGAAAACCACCCTATAGGCAATAATCCATAAGGGGTATAATATTCCTCGAGCATCATCCGGGCATGCCAGAGGAGTATGTTATGGCTCATTACAAAGCTTAGGGTCCCAGCTACCTGCCTTCATCATTAGTTACCGTTAGTTGTACGATCGTAATGCATTAACCCTTACCCCTATATCGAGTAACCAGCCGCTAATATTGACAATACCGACCCAGGATCTTTTTACCCCAGCGGGCCATGTCATATGGGTATATGATAGCTCATACGAACGCTAAGGGTCCATGTTACCTGCATGCATCCTTAGTTATCGATAGTTGTATGAGCCTAAGGCAAAAAACTATTTAATTCGACCCCTTCCTGTAAGCCCATCGCTTATATTGACCATACCGACTCAGGATCTTTTTATCCTACAGAACAAGCCGAGCCTGCTATAGGTCTGTACGAGGTATCATTATCATCACAAATGCCTTGGCTGAGAATTAAAAGCATTTTCTTAAGTTCCTCGTCCCGTCATAAGGCTGAAAATACAATGAATCAACCCCGAAGGCCAGAAAATCACCCTATGGCACAAAGACGTACACTGCCTAATTGTCCAATCTTCGGTTGCAGTTTCTCTTCGCATAATTTTTTCCAACCTGTCATTTTAAGAATACTAACATGTAATATTTACCGCTATGAGCATCGACTGTTTTGGGCCAATTTTATAAGCAAAATGTGGCACAATTTGGTTTAACAAATATGTTTGATTAAATGTTCAAGCTTTTAACAATTATCTCTCGTTAATTTCTATTATAGGTCATTGTTCTGACTTTTACTTAAATCGTATTCATTAATTGTTCTTGAGTTGTGTAGTACTTTTATATGGCAAGCCGTTTTTATATTTATTCAATTTCAAGATATCTTATAAAGTAAATAAGATATTTTATAAAGTATATAAGATATCTTCTAATGTTTATAAGATATCTCATTTAATTTGAATCTAATAAGATATCTTATTTATTTTATAAGATATCTTATTAACTTTTAAAGATATCTTGTATAGTTTATAAGATATCTTATATCTTTTTAAAGATATCTTTTAAACAAATACTTTATGAGATATCTTGTATAGTTTATAAGATATCTTTAAAAGTATATAAGATATCTCATTTACTTTATAAGATATCTTATTAACTATATAAGATATCTTATTAGTTATACAAGATATCTTATATGATTGATTTATCAGATATCTTATTTAGTTAATAAGATATCTTATTTAGTTAATAAGATATCTTATTTAGTTTATTAGATATCTTATTTACTATATAAGATATCTTATTTAAAATAGCATTATTAAATACATTCAACAATGAACGCTCCCTCTTGAACTACGAGGCAGTAAATAGATCATGTGATCGCACTTTCAAAATGGCAGTTGAGAAGAGTCGGCTATTAATAAATATTCGAGATGTTAATATCCAGAAAGCATATGGGTGTATTAGAAATGACAAACTGCGACCTGAATTAATTCTTGGCCTTGAGATTAATCGCGCTACAGACACGTTAGCTGTTTCAAAAAGTGTATATTAAATTTTGCATTCAGAATAAAAAACATTTTTTGGCGTCCTAAAGTATGGTTCTTGAGCTCTCTTGTATAGTTTATGTTTGATGTGTTTGAGCTTTTGATTTTGTCATTTGATTAGGGACTTTCCGTTTTGAATTTTCCTCGGAGTTCGGTATTTTTGTGATTTGGTTTTTTTTCAAGCTATTTGAAATATGACATATTATCTAAAAAAAAAATCCAGTTACTTTATATAAAATCTGTTGACTTTGATGCAAGTGATAATCAAGGAAAAACACCATCAAAATATAATCACCGTAAGCTTACAAAACGTTTTTTGTCATATTTGGATAGAATAAAAGAGAGATATGGTTAAAAGTATATAAAGTATGTTCATAAAAATGTAGATCAAATATGACCATGCCAGCACAAGTGACTGCTTTAAAGAATTTGAATCCCCTAGTTTTTGTATCATGTCAGTTTGTGAACTAAGTCTCATTCCTGTTACTATTTCTGGCTACCGAATTCTGAAAGGAAGAACATTTTGAATTTATCAAAGAAATCCCCCCCCCCCCCCCCCCCCAAAAAAAAAAACCAAATAAAAAACAACTGGAATTTCATAAAATATTTTAATTCTTGATAATAATTTCGTCAATTCTTATTTCTAGATTGGCAATACATTTTAAGTGAGACTTGTATAGATATATTTCATTTTAAATAAAATATCTTTTACAGTAATTAAGATATCTTAATTATTAAATAAGATATCTCATTTATTAAATAAGATATCTTAATTATTAAATAAGATATCTTAATTATTAAATAAGGTATCTTATATATTAAATAAGATATCTTATATATTAAATAAGATATCTTATATTTAAAATAAGATATCTCATATATTAAATAAGATATCTCATTTATTAAATAAGATATCTTAATTATTAAATAAGATATCTTATATATTAAATAAGATATCTTATATATTAAATAAGATATCTTATATATTAAATAAGATATCTAATATATCAAATAAGATATCTTATATATTAAATAAGATATCTGATAGACTGAATAAGATATCTTGTATATATTTCATATATTAAATAAGAATCTACAAAACAATAAACAATTTTAATTAACTCTTTTTGATATTAAAATTTTCTCTGCTGGTAGTAAACTGTTATTTTCATATCATTGCAATTTTTCCTGCTTGAAGCACATTTAACAAATTTCATTCATATTGCTAGGGAGCAAGGAATTGCTTTGTTTTCTTTCGTTTATCGTGAAATGATCATTTACAACCTCCGTGGAAATGCACATAGACCGTTGTTAACCAATTAGAAATTTTGGTTATTATATGGGTGCATGCGAATTAAAATGAAAGATAATTTTCTCTCTTTATTGTGAAATTAAATATTAATTTTACATAACGGTGGCGAAACAGAAGTCATTTTTATTGATATATTATTGTCTAGTGAGTGGTAAAAGACACTTATTTTTTTGTTCTACTCCATTGGAGGTGTGCCTACACTGGCAGATTCTATATATAATACAGATACAGATACAAATTAGCAATCTTGATCTGAATTGCTATTGATTTTATGATTGGTCAATCTTTTTTCCAACATAAAGGGATACTTTATTTCAAGTCTTAAAAAGAAAGGAAGAGAAGATATCTTATTTAGTTAATAAGATATCTTATTAAGTTTAAAAGATATCTTATTAAGTTTATAAGATATCTTTATAAGGAACTATATAAAAGATATCTTATATAGTTTATCTTATAAACTTAATAAGATATCTTTTAAACTAAATAAGATATCTTATTAACTAAATAAGATATCTTATATGTTAAATAAGAAATCTTTATAACCAGTTTAATAAGATATCTTATTTAATTATCAAGATATCTCAATTCATTTATAAGATATTTTATTTAATGATAAAGATATCTTATTTAACTTAATAAGATATCTTGAAAGTGAATAAATATAAAAACGGCTTGCCATACTTTTAATTGGGTTTGAGTTTTTGTCTCGCCTTGACGGAGTCAAAAAGCGAGACATAGGTATGCTGTTTCCGGCGTCGGCGGCGGCGGCGGCGACGGCGGCGGCATCAACAATGTATTAGTTTGTGATTAGGTCTAGTTCATGGTGAACCACTAGTGGTAGGTCAATGATATTTGGTATGCAGTTGTATTAGCATTGGCACATCTCATTACCATGGAGATTTTTTGGCCCCGCCCCCCTCAGTCAAGGTCTATTGACTTTGAAACTTTTCATTGTTTACATGTATTAGTTTGTAATTAGGTCTAGTTCATGGTGAACCACTAGTGGTAGGTCAATGATATTTGGTATGCAGTTGTATAAGCATTGGCATATCTCATTTCCATGAAGATTATTTGGCTCCGCCTCCTTAGTCATGGTCTATAGACTTTGAAAATTTTGATAAGTTAACATGTATTAGTTTGTGATTAGGTCAGTTCAAGGGGAACCATTAGTGGTAGGCCAATGTTAATTGGTGTTCAGTTGTATAAGCATTATCACATCTCATTTCCATGGAGAATATTTGGCCCCGTCCCCTCAGTCATGGTCTATTTACTTTGAAACTTGTGCTTAGTTTACATGTATTAGTTTGTGATTAGATCAGTTTAAGATGAACTGCTAATGTTAAGTCAATGATATTTGGTATGCAAATTTATTGGCATTTGCAAGTATCGTTTCCATGGAGATTATACAGCCCCACCCCTGATCATGGTTCATTGAATTTGAAACGTTTACATAGTTTACAAGTTAATGTTTGTGTTTAGGTTTGTTTAAAGGGAACGACTTATAATAAGTCAATGGTATTTGGTATGCAGTTGTATTAGTATTGGCACATCTCATTCCATGGAGATTGTTTAGCCATGTACCTTCAGTCATGGTTCATCGACTTTGCATATTTGCATAACTTACATGTTAAAGTATTACTATTTTAATTTCAACATTTGCATTATCAAAATTACAAAAAGGCGAGACATCTCTCTGTGATAACAGTTTATCCTGACGAAGGTAAACCCAGAAAAGCACACCGGATGCACGTCATTTATAAAGTGTTATTTTCTTTCAATACTATATAATTTGGCTATTATCTTTAGGTCTCTTTTGGTATTTTTCCTATTTAAGTGTTTCTTGATGAAAGTAAATTAAAAAAAAATCGCGTCGAACGTATTCAATTTATAAAAACTTATTTTCAGTTTTTTTATATTATAAAATATGGCCATATCAATTAAAATATGGATTTCTGACATACGAATTAAAAATTGACAAATAGGTAATAGTTTAGTAATATGTTGTTACTGATTCCAAATTGAAGTCAAATAAATAACAAGGCTTATAATTTGGCAAACTACGTTTCGTCTTCACAAAACTCGTCACTTGTGCTTGACTCCAAAGAATCCCTAATTGGATACTAGTATACAAAACTGTGTCTTGGTTAAGAAAAACAAGGATGGCACGATCAATATGTTTACAATACTCTGCTTATCATATTGTATACTAGTACTTTTCGCAATCAAAAGCTATTTTGTAACGTGAAAGGAAATTATTTCCGACAATTTACATTGCTCTAGATGTTACGGAGGTACGATTAACAAATGGTACATTTTCTGGAGAGGGACGAATCGAGGTAAAACATGACGGTGAATGGGGAAGCATATGTGGAAATAGTTTTGATGTAACTGCTGCCAAAGTTATATGCCAAATGTTAGGATTTAATAATACGTAAGTTTTCTTGAAGTACATAATACCAGTGATGGCTTGTTGTTGTTAAGATAAATTATTAACAATGAGGGTGTAATTTTCTTTTAGATTTGATAAATTATTTCTGCCAATGGCAAAAATGCTTACAGGCATATATCTCTTTTATTACTATTGTATTGATGTTGTGTCATAGATAAAACTCATTCATTCAGTGTATCTTACTTGTTTTTGTTTAAATGTCTTTTTGATCGAGTTAAGCCATTTCAATTGATATTTTAACGTGTGTCTTTTTATGTTGTAATGTTACACTACTGTCTCAGGTTAGGATGAAGGTTGGAGACCGTTAAAACGTTTAACCCCGCTGCATTTTCTGCACCTGTCATAAGTCAGGAGCCTGTTGTTCAGTGGTTGTCGTTTGTTGATGTGGTTCATTAGTGTTTCTCGTTTAACGTTTGTATATAGATTAGACCGTTGGTTTGAATTGTTTTGCATTATTCATTTTAGGGCCCTTTATAGCTTGCTGTTCGGTGTGAGCCAAGGCTCCGTGTTGAAGGCCATACTTTGACCTATAACTATTTATTGTTTATACATTGTGACTTGGATGGAGAGTTGTCTTATTGGCACTCTTACCACATATTCTTTTTTTATATATAACTGACCTAATAATATTAATAGCTAATGCGGGCATTTTTCTGAGGTTTTTTTATTAGTTAGTGCAAGAAACAGGTTACGATGATATGTGTTGACAACTTTTAATAGGCAAATATACATAATGTCAAATAAAAGGTAACACTAGGCCACCAAAAGCTGAATTTTTTGGTTCAATCTAGGTGGCCGAGTGGTCTAAAGTGCTGGACACAGTGCAGGCGGTGTTGTCTCGATATCCAAATAGCATGAGTTCGAACCCCGTCGAGGGAAGAACAAAAACTTGCTTCCGCAAATTTGCAGATTTAACATTGTTGTGCTGATATTTAGAGTAGTTATGTACATATATATATAAAGATTAAAGATAAAGACCTATTTTGTTTCATCTGGTAATCAATTAATTTGGCAATCGCCATGGCAGTCAGCAGGGTTTAAGAACATCCGTTGTTCGACCTGCTAGTCAAATGCGTTTTGTTAAAATATACTTTTTCACTTTTGGTTTTTAGGAAAATGTTGTTTGTGCTGTATTTAGACCCCTTTACCAAGAAATTTGTTATGCATGCACAAGTAAAAAAATTGCGGTTTTTATCCAACGCAATCATAGGTTTGAACGTTGTTTTCAATTTAGACTTGTATATATATATAAATATACAGAAAACCAACTATTCATGGAGATGGCTATTTTGGTAAAGCTCATGGCAAATTATTGATGGATCATCTCGTATGCAAAGGTAACGAAACAGATATCAACCAATGTACCTTTCCTGGATGGGGAAAAACAAACTGCAGACATGATGAAGATGTCGGAATTTCGTGTGGTGAGTTTTAATACACATTTCTGGCACTTATTGTTTTTTGGGATCATCCTCGATAAGCATGTGTCAAGATATTGTTACAGTACTTGCCAGTCACAGTTCCTGAAAGACCAGTTTTTTGTTTGAACTTGAATTATTTTTTCTTAACATTAAGTAATACCCGTGTCTGATTTTGTCTTAACTGTAGTCATTTTTAATTATTTATGTATTTTCATAACATATTCTAAACATTTAAAACATGTCTTAACAATGTTTTTGTAAATATTTTTTACATTGTTGGTCAGTCAATTTAACACATTTTTAACATTAAATTTTTAATATTATAAATTTGTATGAACAGTATATTAACATCATTTACGGCTATTAGTATTTATCTCTCTAACTGTTTAACTAGTTTCCTTTCTCAAATTAAAGAATACTTATTTTTATTTTGGAGTGTCAATAATTCTTTCTGTCGTGTTACTGATGGCTCTTTCCATTATGTTGAGAGTTATGAATTTTTGACACTCGGCACTTCACTTTCAAGCAATCTTGACAATTTTCCTTGGCAATCTTTGTGTACGTTTCGGCAGTGAAGTAATTCAACAGTTTATATGTATCCATATGGTCACCTATTGTGCCCATTTAATAACGGACTTGTTCCTGTATTGTATGAAATCACAGTTTTGAAAAAAACCGGTAAAGATTTATCTAATTTCAATTTGGTTGATAAATTCAGTAGTACTAACCGTTCACTAAGGATATTTTTTTCTTTAATAATCATTTCCCATTACATTGTGGAAATTTACCAAAGGAACTTATTTCAAATTTCAACAGCAATAGTTGTCCGTTTCTAGATTTGGAAAATTCATATTAGCATGGGAAAAGCTTTACGAGAAAATAAAGAGAAAAAAAATCGTTCCTTATTGTTAATTTTCTTTTTCTTACGGTCCGTATATTTTTTACTAGTAAGCTTTGTCCGTATCTGTGTGCAGTTTAGATACAATTGAATGTTATCTATGTAACTGGTTAACTATTTAATCAGGATATAGTTTATTTAAAACTTTTACCTAATTATTCTATAGATACTCAAAGTTTGGTTTGGAAGTTTGGTTGTACCTGTTAAATTCTTATTAACAACATTATATCACATCCTAATTTATGTTGGAATATTGTTTATAGGACACGTACATTTAGATACAATCCATTTGAACTGATTGATCTATTGAGTAAACTTATTCTTGAAGGTTATCATCTAAACACTCATTTTATAAATTTCGGGGCCTTTTATAGCTGACTATGCTGTATGGGTTAACTCATTGTTGAAGGCCGAACGGTGACCTATAGTTGTTAATTTCTTAGTCATCTGGTCTCTATTAAATAATGATACTCTAACGGATTTCATGTTGTGCGTGTACAGCATTGACCAAGGTGAACGAGATGGGTTGGACACTTATAAACATGTTTTAGCCCCAGGTTTGGATTTTCAAGTGGACATTTGTATGTCCTAAAGCATCATTCTTTTAAAAATAAAAAATAAAGTATACTGATGTTTGTGTTGCTGAATAGATATGTTTCACAAATATAGTTTTGATATCCGATATAGCTGAGTCAAACGGTATAGGTTAAGAGAGGATTGAACGCTCAAAGACATGTTTAACCCTGCTTGGCAATTTAACATTCTAAATGTGGCTATCCCAAGCCTGTTATGCAGTTACTGCCGTTGGTTCGTTTTTGTCATGTTATTTTTTCGTTAAATGTTTTGTTATAAATCAGGCCATTTAATTTCTCGCTTGAGTTGTTTAGCGTTTCGTCATATCTATCCTTCGATAGCTTATTATGCACTTTGTGTTTTGCTGAGTGTTGAAGACCAAACTATAGATGTTAACACCCACGTTTTATTTAGAAACTTGGGGAAAGTTGTCTCTTTGCAATCATTCCAATTCTCCTTAGTGTCATATTAAAGCAGTAACACCTTAAAGAATTCGTCTGGATTTTTTTATGCTAATGGACAGTCATCATACTAAACATTTTTGCCATGTCAGATTTTCGGTGTCACTTCTTACAGGAATTATTGCCCTTAATTACAAATTTAACCATTTTTTATATTTGCCTATTATTTGAAAACTATAATGGATAGACAGAAACTTTAAATAGTGACAAAAATATATCAGCGAGATAAGATTTACACGTTAGTTCACGTGACTGAAATAGTAAGTCTAATCCGTACTAGAGTCAGTACCCTTTTATGACGACTTTTACATACTGTTTATTATATTGATCACTATAATGGATAGATAGAAACTTTAAACGGTAAAAATGATCATACTATTTTCGTAAAAACCATAATAGATAGATAAAAACTTTATATAGCAAACATAAAACAACAGGACAAGATCTACACATAAGATATAAATTGTTAGTTAACTCTCTATAGTTATTGGTCGTTAATGAAGTTTTTTTTACAATAACGTGATAATTACTGAAAATGTAGGTGCGCTACACAGGCTCTTGAAAGTCTCTTGAAAGTATACATTTAAGAAAAGAAATATCGTTTTGACTTTGAAAGCGCTAGGCCTAAGGTCAAGGTTATAATAAATAAAATACATTTTTGATAGACATCATAACTGTCTGAAGTCATAGAAGATATCAATCAAAAAGTAAGAGTTAGCATTATAAAGATAACTTTTATGCATAAAATCGGGCATCTGAATCACAATAATCGTAGTTATTCTTTTGTACAATTGCTTGCTTGAAATACAATTCATTTACCATTTTACTTGTTTTTTAAATCAACATTCAAGAACAACTATTTACTTCGGAAACTATATAAAAATAAGGAGATGTGGTATGATTGCCAATAAAAAATTATCCACCAAAGTTTAAATGAATTGGATGTAAGCAACTATAGGCAGATATACGATCTTCAACAATGATAAAAACCCATAAAAGACTGCAACATGAAAGCTATTAATTAATTCAAATAAGACAACAAACGGCCTAATTTATAGCAAAGCAATTTACGGAAAAACAGATATGTCAGACATGAACCAACAACAACAACTGAACTACAGGTACCTGACTTGAGACAAGTACATACAGAATGTGGCGGGTTCAAACATGTTTGAAGACGATAATTAATTATCAAAGGTACCAGGCTTATAATTTAATACGCCATTATATCCATTATAGTGAACAAGATAATAAATAATATGTAAAAATCGTCATAAAAGGGTACTGACTCCAGTACGGATTATACTTAACCGTCCACAACCTGGGATAGTAATGTAACAGTATACTACAAGAATAAAATATAAAATGAGTTGAAAATGTCTTAAGTCATCAGATCGATACAAAGCAGAAGAACATCTGACAAAAACACAGACCAGACGTGGCAGGGTATTTATACATCCCTCGAAACAAGAAAACACACACAGTACATATATGGAGTAACTACAGTTACTGGTAGCTATTTCAAAGACAATAAAAACTAAGAAAAAAATCATGTATCTAAAAATTAAATATCGATCAGTACACATCCAACATCCAATGGATTTAGTGCAACGACGTCATTAACACTCTGAAAAAAGCATGAACAAGACAATGTAAAAATTTAAGTTTCGACCGTGTAGCACCGTGAATGTAATCATGATTTAACAACTACTTTATATACAAAGAACCAGTTTATTTATTTTTAATTATTTGTACAATATTTTCCTAGCAACCCCTGTAAGACTCGTTGGAGGCCCTATTCCGTCAAAGGGAAGGCTAGAAGTGTATCATGCAGGAAAATGGGGAACTGTTTGTAGTGATGGTTTTGACACAAAAGATGCCATAGTTGTCTGTAGGACGCTTGGATTTTTAACTAGGTAATGAAATATACATCGATTTTTAAAAGGAAAACGATATTTCTGAAAGATATTGCATTTTTACATCAGTTAAAAAAGTAATGATCAACAGTCTTTAGGATAAAGCTTATAATTAAGACGGTTTTGTTAGTATTGTAACAAAATATACAAAGGAATTTTAATTCAAACCAAACTCTTCTGAAATATTCAATTAATCTCTTTAATGACAATCTGTATGCTCTTCAGAATGATACAAGTTATATGGATTTATAAGAATATGACAGTTGTTTTACATTCGTTTGATGTGTTTGAGAATTTACCATTTGATAAGGGACTTCCTGTTTTGAAATTTCCTTGGACTTCAGTATTTTTGTTTTATTACTTTTTAAAAATAAACATGTCAAGACAACATAGTGTCAGTTTATTTGAAATTTAAAACTCAAAAGGTAGAAAATTAGCTTAGATCTAAAAAGCCATACAAAGTAAAACATTTTTTTTTCTAAATGTACCGGTTTTGAGTAAAGTACCGGTTCACTAAGTCAAAAAGAATTTCCTAAGCAATGCAGTATTGTCTGTGTGTCTTGTAATAATTACCTTATCAAAATAAAATATGAAATTTTTGTCATTTTGTATTTTGATTCTTGCGCAGTATTCATTGTAGCGTTTTTGATGAGTATGCAAACACTTTATCCATTATCTATTTCCTTGATTTTTCTTAAGATAATTATTAATAAATGAACAGATAACAAAATCACCTCAAACTGTTAGAATTAAGAAAAGACCAGTTTTTGCAACTATTAACAACACTTAATATCAACAAACCAACCCTGAAATATGAATCTATATGTTTAAGCTTCAAAAGTGCAGGTATTTGCGCTAACTTGTGGTGATCAAAGACATGTTACGTACAAACCTAACTTGTTTGGATGCGGTTAAAAATCAGTCGAGTACATTTAAGACTTAAAATCGATTAAGTTTTTTTCCCAGTGGGATATCCAGTGAACAAAAACAAAAGAAAGTTCACTCTTCTTATGATAGGGTCGAGAAAGTCAATAATAAAACAATGCCGGTGACGATACTGATCAAAAGTTATTTCCAAATAAAATTTGTTTATTTTAAATAAAATAATTGTTAAACTGTGTTATTAGAAATATACATGCAAAAACAAGATGTTTTATGTTCAGTTTTTATCCAGATACTTGCATTAGTGATGACTGCTGTACCCATATTTTGACTATTTTATTTATAATGTCTGTTTTGTTCACGCATCGTTGTAAATATAACGGAATTTGATAAGACTGTCGTACAAGTGAGAGGTTTAGCGCTATAAAACCAGGTTCAATCCACCATTTTCTTCATTTGAAAATGCCTGTACCAAGTCAGGAATATGACAGTTGTTGTCCATTCGTTTGATGTGTTTTGTCATTTGATTTTGCCATGTGATTAGGGACTTTCCGATTGAATTTTCCTCGGAGTTCAGTATTTTTGTGATTTTACTTTTTTTTTAGAAGCTTGTGAAACTGAAATTTAAAAAAGGCCAAATCTTTGCTGCATATTGATATAAAAATTTGAAAAAATCATGAACATATAAAATCTAAAGATCTTTCGTGTCACCAATTTTCGAGGTGTTCCACGAAGTCCGTAGCATGTTACAATTTCCCAAAGTATACTTATTTTTTCACACCTACGTTATCAAGCACACCGGCCTGCTCTTGCCACATGTACATTCAATAGAGTAATATTGTTTTTTTATGAATATAAAAATTTAAAAGTCTGTCTGTGCTGGTTAAGAAATTAAAGATAACTATTTTTATAAAGTAGGTATCTTTCTACTATTTTTTATACAATTTTAAGAAAAGGTCGTCTCGATTTTTGTACATGTATTTGCGGTCTTCTCGATCTATTCGAATACATTCAATGTTTACATCCAGATAAGGTCCGTTTGAATTTGCTTAGTAATCTACTTTCAAAAGTGCCAATCTTTACTGCATATTAATCGATTCTTTTGGAATTTTTTCCCTGACGTTCTCTGATCTAGCTTTATATATATTCGGAGAATTAGCATGTTCCAGAAAGTTATACAGCCAGTACAAAAATAAACTGAAGTTGGTACTCCAAGAACTTATTCGCATAGCAACATTTTAAACCAAGTTTACATCAAGCTTCTATAGCCTGCTGTACTCGTTGTTTGCTACTTAAGGAGGGAAATGATAACATTGAATGGAAGTTTTGTTTTTATTTCAACTTATTTCTATTTTTACTTTTTACCAGAACGTTTTCCCGTTAATCCATAATTGTTAGCGTCCTTGCATAAATGGGACAAAAAACATTGAGAGGATCTAGTTTTCAATATTTACAGGGGAGGTAATATTTTGTCACTAAGTTTCCAACTGTTGCATGGTTATTCAAGCAAGTATCTTATCGTGTCAATATGCAATGAGGTAATTAAGGCCCCGTCGACTTGTCTGCGTATGAGCTACACAACAACTCCTTCTGTCCATGGTTCCTTAGTCAATTTTAAGTTTTGTTGTTTGTTCTGTTTGTCAGCTTCTATGAAAAATATATCAGCTGTATTTTGTGCAAGGAATGATTGTAAGGTGTACATGTCTGTCTGGCAGGTTTGATCTGACAATGACTCAAAAAAGCTTTGAGCAGTTTTCATGAAAGTTTAAAGACTGGTTTATAATTATTAATATAAGCTCCCTTTATTGTTTTACAAATTATATATGACATTTTGGAGTTATGGAACTTTATTCGTTGAAAAAGCGACGGACGTATAAGGCGCTCATTGCGCAGCTCTTTATAATATTTTTATTGGCAAACATTTTATTGTTAAAAGATTTAAAACAAAAATAAAAGAAATAAAATCTTCTCTATCAGTCTTGGTGGTTAGTACCAGACATAATGCATGTATCTACTACAAAGTTTTCTCAATTTATAAATTGTGTGTCGAAATAGGTACTGTAACATTGATAACAATGCTCATCCTCCTCATGAATTGGATTAGCATCCGACCATAGAAATATACATTACAATATATACTTAAGGGCATCCGATGCAGTTTCAAGTGATTTAACTATTGGTGCGACGTTAAAGCGTTCGAATTCCTGCAAAACGGCACTTTCGGTGGGACGTCATGCGTGTAATTTTCCGTAATAAAAAAAACCGCCTAAACGGTATTTAGTATAAAGAGGCTCCAACTTATGTTTCTTACACATGTCAACTTCTGTGCCTTTTAGATTAATGCTTTTGAGTCTAACATTTTGATATATAAAATCGTAAGAAATTAAGCACTTATCACCTCGTCCTCGTTCCTCGTCTTGAAGCTTCTGTGAGGTCGTGAACAATGAAGTCAATAAAGTATCGTATAATGATCAATCTCAAGACGACTGACCCTTTTGGTGTTAACAAAATGCATGCCAATTATCATTTTTATTATCATTCATTCCTGATCGAATTTTGATCTTGATCCGATTTCTGACAGCACATAAAAAATAGTTTTACGGCGCATTTTAGTAACAAGCGAAGTTAATATCAATTTGTGTTAAATTTCATATCATATGTTCAGATAGCGCAAATATCCAGTTTTAATCATTTCAACTAATTGTGTAAAAACAACATCAACACTTCAAAAGCATTAAATTTCCTCACGGAACATTTTATTCCATTTATTTATTTCAAATATGAGAAGACGCAATAATAATGGTATGCCGCAATTATTAGCTATGATACAACTTTTAAAATAATATATATGAATTTACTTACAAAATTGCGATATAATGAAAATATTATCAGATTTTAATCGAAACATTTTACAAAAAAAAACCCCATAAAATACTGGTTATTACGAATGTATATAAAAGTACAAAACCACAAGAGGTAGGGCCAGTTTTCCATGAATTTATTACACACCAATGGTATATTTTTAAAGGTCTTTAAATCTTTTAGAAAAAAATCATCACAGCTATACTTTGAGGTTTCTACAACATGATATGGTAGTTCTGAACATTCATTAACCAGATTGTAAATGCTTTAAGTGACTTGTTTAAAATTGTAACTTCGGACAGTAATGTTAGATATTTGGGAGATGAATAAAAAGGACACAAAAACCAAAACCAAAGTTATGAGGAATGCATGTATAAGTGACATGTCCCGTTTACAGATATAAATTGAATCATTTTTGCCATATCAAAAATTATGAAATATTTCAAAATTATTGTAAAGGTTTCTTTAACTGTAATCATTCACCCGAATAACAGTTTGATTTTATGAATTTATGTGCAATTATAAACTACAGGCTCTAAAAAGCCTGTGTCGTTCACCTTGGTCTATGTGCATATTCAACAAAGGACACTCTCCGACATCATAAACGAGAATAGAATTCCTGACAAAAATCTCTGTTTTGTTGATTTTGTATTGCTGATCATTTAGTCTGTATATTTTCTCTCTATCTTCTTTAAATTTTGCTCAAAACACAAAAGAGGGTTTAAAAATCCTCATTTAAGGTCAATAACTCCTATAAAGAGTGACAGTCTACTAACTATATCAGCAAAATTTGATTGTCAGTAGATCTTGACTTGCTGATCATATTTGTGATCTAAAGTGTATTTGAATAACTCTTCAATATCTTCAGCTTCGTTTTTATTTGTAGTCACCCAGTCGTTTATAATAATGTAAACTTTGGATTGAGTACATTAAACATATCGATGGATGCTTTAGCATGTGATGGTACAGAGCATGATATATCGGACTGTAAATTTAGAGGATGGGGATCAAGCAGCTGTAATCATAGAAAGGACGTCGTTGTGCAGTGCCGTGAGTTTTTTTATTTATCTAAATCACCTGTCTGCAAGTTATAAATTTCATATGTCATTCGTATTAGTTGCTGTCCTAGATGTTTCAAACGAAATCATAGTTAAAATTGAGAATGGAAATGGGGAATGTTTTTAGTTTTTTTTATCTAAAATTGTCATTCAAAGAAATGTATCAATATCGAAATGTTTGAGTCGTCACAATAAAGTGATTCATACCAGTGGTTTGTCTCTGTTAACCTTTTTATTGGAACAGAAACCCCCTCTCCCGTGGTTCGTTCTGTCAATACAATTACGAGAATGAAGCCCTTGTACAGACACAATCAACATAATAACTATAGTAAATGTAACACAAAAACAGTCATGGCATAAAACGAAGGATCGTTCTTTAACTTTGGAATCAGTTGCTAAGTCTGGTGCATGTGTTTAGCCTTCCGTAAATTTACGAATTTAAGCTTACCCTGTTGTGTAATGTAAAATACGTTCTATATCTATTTCAAATTTACGTGAACAGACATCGGACATATGTATATAGTTTAACGGTCTTTTGTTCCATTTTCAATATGATTTTACAGAAACCAGAGTTCGATTAGTAGATGGACCAACCCCGTCTAGAGGAAGAGTTGAAGTAATGTACCGCGGTGAATGGGGAACAATTTGTGATGACTCGTTTGGACAAGAAGAAGCCGCTGTTGTTTGTCGTATGTTAGGATATCATAACTCGTAAGTTTGAATAGTCAAAGAAGAACGACACTTTAAAGACAATTAGTCATATACATGAAAATCGTGTCTTTTTAAAATTACTTAGACCATTTATCTGTGTCCTAGTATAAATTGACAAAGAATTGTCGGCACTCCGTCTAATTTCAAGGTATTTGTATTGCAAGCAGAACACTCTATTAAGAAAATGATGATAGGACCCTCAAGCTAGGCAACATCATTTTAACTTAGACATACATATACTTCATTTGCATATTGCTTATGACAGTTCACCAAATTAAAAAGATTATATAACTGCGTTTGCTAAATGCTTAACAAAACCTCATCAAATACTGAACACCTATTATATCATGAATCTAATCCGGGCTCCAGAAGAACTCTGTAAATGCCTTCTGTAAGAGTAATGTGAATAAGATGTTGATTCAACTACCTTCCAAAGACAATAGTTATACACAATCTTAGTCTTTCATATCTTACAATAGTGTAATGATGCGTAATTTATATACCCTCTACTCAAATTTTGCTCATTTTGAATATAAAGAGATATTGAAAAAACTAAATCTAATTGGAGACGCATTTGTCCATTTAAAGAGTGAGCATGAAACTAAGGTGTAAATATTAAAAAATTAATTGTTGGACAATAATTCCATTTATGATTTGAAGGAACTACCGTCTGTATGGCTCCTCCCATTATAATGAAGGCTTAGGTAAAATATGGATTGACGACTTATCATGTGATGGCTCTGAAAGTGATATTATTAACTGTAAATATCCCGGATGGGGTCAAACTGATTGTTCACACAGTGAAGATGTTTCCCTAGATTGTGGTGAGTAAAATATATGTGCAAAAGAATAATATGTCTTACGCAGAGGCTGACGACACCAACGCCGACGACAGAATGTAGAAAAATGGCGTCAGCCTCTACGGCGTTGGCGTAGTCAACATTTAGGGTCACTGTGATGTTACAGTTTATTTACACATCAAAACTTTTTGTTTAAGTTTTAATATTAATACACTTAAACAGAAGCTTATTCAAGATCCAAACACACTTTCCGAAGCTACATTTTGGAAATAATTTAATTTATTAGTCCGTATTTTACCACAAGCTTAAAGTACTACAGTGACCATACAGTTTTAAAAAATACCGTTAGTACCTTTTTCGCATAGAGTGGCTCATATATGAATCATTTATAATACCATGAATACAAACTAAAGCAGTAGGAAAAGGGCACATAACGCTACAGTTGAACACAACTATTACACTAAGGATAGAATTGGAGCTACATTGAAACCATCACATGTGCTTTAGTACAGTTAATGTTCCTGTATTACTTGTAACAAGAGTAGTGTTAGTGAATACATGAAATGATCAAAGAAGTGTAATATGGATGTCCGACATGAATCATGCATTTTAAAATTGATATCACTGACCTCACAGTCCAAAAACAATTTAAATGAGTATTTTCGTCGATATTTTGACTCTTTCGTGTAAGCGGGAGGTTTGACTAGCCATAAAACCAGGTTCAACCCACCATTGTTTTCTTAAGCTTGTGATCTGTTTAATTGATTTTTTTATTAATGTGTAATAATAGCAAATAACACACAATCAATCAATTCATTATGTCCAACAATGCATATAAAACCATTTTTGGGATATTTGTAGCTGATGATTGTAGTCAGACAATAATTAAATTATCGAATATAAATAAAAGGAGACACGAGGTATACACCAATAGGACAGCAACACAATGACACAGAAAAACCAAGATCCATCTTTTCACTAGTATAATCTATACTGGGTGGTTACAATGGTGACTATATATGTAGGCGACAACTTCCTTATTGTTTACTTATTTATTATGTAAAATGCTTGTTCAAACCAGGTAATGTTACAATTAGCTAAAATATTTGGTTAATTTTGAAATCAAAAGTTACTTTCATTTAAATAGATGCTAGAGTGTATTTAAGTGGTGGTAACAATGCAGGACAGGGAACTGTAAACGTTTATCATGAGAGTCAGTGGGGTTCCGTGTGTGATGACAAATTTGATGTAGATGATGCAAAGGTTATTTGTGGTATGATTGGACACCACACATTGTAAGTTGTACAGTATTTCTTCGATTTTGTCATTTTTCATTAAGGCGACGTGTATGTATTTAACAACTCCACAGATTATTTTTTTTAATTTCATATATCCTCGTCTCATGGGTTTTCGTACTATTAAGAATGCATTGTGACGTCACAATTTCAATTGAAAAAGCATGCATAGTACGAATTCATATGACGTACGAAAACATATGATCTGACCATATGAATTTTGCTTGTACAATTACACAAGAAAATAAATGAAAAATGAGGGTAACTGTTTTTTTTTTTAAAACAAGATGTGGAAATTTACAGCATGATACTCTAAAAATACGAAGAATATATATGAAAAATCATAAAATCAGCAGGTAATTTTACATTGAAAATCTAATCCATTTAGAGTCCACAATTAGTCCACGTAAAGAAAGTAAATAATAAATTGTTGGGCCTCGGTGGTCGAGTGGCTTAAGTAGTCGAACTTGAATCGGATTGTCAGTTATCCTATTGAAGGTCGGTGGTACGCTCAGGGTACTCTGGCTTCCTCAACCAATACAAACTCACTTCCACGAAATGGCACAATAGTGTTGAAAGCGGCGTTAAACACGAATCAATCAATTAAAAAGAAATAAACGATTCAAAAATGATGGACGAATCGATTAGTGCAAAAAACGTTCTTAGTAACCTTGCTAATCAACCAGTTATATTATGTGAAAGTTGAATCTGTAACGAAAAAAATGAAAACTATTCGGGGACGTTATTTATATCTACAGTATGTCGCCACATAAATAACACTATTCCACTGTGGTGTCATGTCGTATGAAAAAACGTATTCAATTAATAAGAAAATAAACTTATATTTTTTTGTCGCCAAAAAAAAAAAGCAAATTGGCATTATATATGATGCACTTGTATCCATACGAAATAACAATAACAGTAGATTAAAGATATTGACCCTCTATTATTATTTTCTAAATATATAAAAAATCTTTAGAAAAAGGGATCGTCCATTCCCCAAGCGCCTTTCATAAAAACTGTAGTAAACAAGTCTAATAATATTTTATTGAAACTCCATTTAGTAATAATTTTAAAACATGGGAAGAACAATTCGATTTTAAAATATCATTTATTACTTTTGAATGATACACAACAGCACAATAAAGGAACAATTTTTGCTACCCCCTTGAAATTTGAATACTATGATTAAGAAGAAATGTTATGTTCCATTCTTATCGTGTATTTACAGTTTCAATCATGATTCTAATTTTTGATTTAACTTTCCCAAAACATTGCGGACGGAAAAGAAGACACCTGCTAATGCTTTGCACTTGTGAATAAAGTTGAATGCTGAGTTTGAATAACATAAATTTTACTTGTTTTAAGATCATTGTTTGAGTTGGGTTATTGTTTATTAAAATAGAAATGCCAAATGAAACCTCTGAAGTGATTGTCTTCCTTTTCATGCTGCAGTTTGGACAAGAGATATTATGCACTTATTTTTTACTGGTTTGGTTGAAATTATAGTCACTTTGATAACTATAGTAATATTTTATTAAATATTGACTGCAAAATAGCTATTTCGGTTAAAGATATTAGGCAATGTTAAGCAGAATTGTATTCTATAAATAGTTGGGCGAATATGACACACGATATTTATTGTTAGTCAATGCTCTTCAACTTTGTACTTTTTGGCTATTAACGTTTTTTATTCGATCGTCAGCAACTAGTTTATTGTAGACGAAACGCGCGTTAGTTTCCTGGTATCTTTGATAAATTTTGGTTATTCTCTTGGCATGAATTGACAGCATGATTGAAATACAGACACCTACACCAATTGAGCTTTCAAAAGAGGAAATAAGTTGGTTCAACGTTCCACTAATTTACTAAGAAAATGCACAATTATAAATATGTTATGGTCTCTACCCTATCATATTTCAGCGATTCATCGATGTAGTGAATCACTGCCATTATATCAATTGGCATTTAAAGAGAAACACAAATAACTCGTTAATTTTGTTCGTAGATCGTTGTTACGTTTTCCGAGATATAATGAATGAAATTATCACTGCACGTAAGAATTTTTTGTGTTTTGCGATACTTCAGACACGGCTAATTTTTATTGATGACACTTGTTGTTCTGGTGTATAGTGGCAAAGAACATTGCTAACTGATTTAGTTATATAAATACAAGACATTGTCATTGTCATGTTCAGTTTATGATACACCGTTTTAGGACACGTATTAAGATACTAGATACTCTTGTTACAGATCTCCTACTGTATACTCACAAGCCCATTTTGGGCAGCGTTCTGGTCCAATTTGGTTAGATGCTGTACGATGTTCTGGGAAAGAAAGTGATCTTGGATCCTGTTCCTACAAAGGATGGGGCAAACATGATTGTAGTCACTCAGAGGACGCCGGTGTTGACTGTGGTAATATGATATAGATAATGTTCAAATAACTGTAAGAAAAGGATTTTAATACCGCATAAAATCTTTCATAAAAGAGGTTACAATACATATCTATGTTATGAAAATCTCAAGTTATTGTATACCTAGTAACAATATCAAATCATGTAGTTGTTTAGATCCTAGCCAGTTGGTGTCTGAAAAATCAAACCGCATCTCCTTATATGTGTGCTAAATGTGATATACAATGCTATCATACTAGTATTATGAATAACAGGACTTGCATCTTTCAAAGCACACAAAGAACATACAATTGACCGATGATAAAATCTAATAAAGCAAATCAATTTCGATGAAATGAAAAAAACTTTTATGGAATCACATGTTACCGAAAAGGAACGAGGACGAATACATTTTGCTAATTGTTGTCTCGCAAAATAAATGACTAAATATCTCCAGGAAATACTAATTATGATATTTAAAAAGCAATAACAAGTTATGTTCATATTAACGGATATCACATATCACACTAAAATTGTGTTAATCGAACATGAAAAAGATACGAATTAATCATTTGAAAATTGCGGTTTCATGCTTCTCTATAATACAAAGTTTTAAATTTTAACGTCATCTTCATCATGTTCATTGCTATGCATTTTTGATTTTTTTTCTATTATTTTTTCTTCTTTGTCCTCGGTATTTTCTTCCATTTTCTCCAATCTTTCATGATGTTCTTTATACTAAGTTCTTCATGTTTTGGTCAAATTCTGTTTTAAGTGCTTCAATTTCATCCTTGTTAATCGTTGATAATTTTCTTGATTTCTTCCTTTGTACTTCATTTATATGATTCTTTGAGTTTCTTCCGTACCATTCTTCCAATAATGCAGGCAGCATCTGAATATTGACCTTACTCTTCTGAATACCTCATACACTGCATCACAGATTTTACGCATTTCTCAGCTTTGAACCCATGACTCTTGAATTTTGATTGCTCCCTAAATTTCATGATCTGTCAAAAAATGTTGATGAGGTTGGTTGATGTACCATATCGGATCATCTTCATTTCTTCCTGGTCTATGTCTATGATTTCTTCTGTATCATGTACCGGATGGAGTTCCCCTAGCTGATAGTTGTTTTCTCATTTTGACAGGGTATCCATCACAGTATATTATTCTTACTGGTTCTTTATAACTGTAAGCATTGACCTATGTCCACGCTACCATAATGTTTCTATCATCTTTAACAACTGGTTCAAGTATGGCATACCGGCTGGACAATAGCTCATGATTTCCCCCCTCTCTAGCAATAAAGATCTCAGAATTGACTGGTATGGTAATTGGTTCTTTTATCCTGACTCGAAATAACAATCTATTTGTCGCCTGGTTTGGCATTATATTCATTAAGCATTCAACTGACGTCCCCTCTTGTAGTGGTTAGTTATTTCCTTTTAGAAAGAAAGGTAATGGTAGCTGCCCGAACCCGATCAATGAAATATATTTCTTAAATGCCTGACTCGGTTAAGAAGCATTAATTATATCACGAGGTGTTTTCTTCTGTAATTCCCCAAATTTTTCAAACAAAAAATTAAAGCTCGGATCATTATTCAATATATCTAATTCATCTGCACATAGTCCATTCCTGGTAGTTATATCCTAAATTTTCCACATTTTTTCCGGGGTTGAAACTTGGCCGCCAACAGTATCAGTTCTGAATAGTTTAAAGACTTTATTACATCTAATTTGAGTAATATTTAGAGACAGTGGTCCAAATATATCTATGCCTATTCGGTTTAGAGGATTTTCAGTCCTGTTGTCTACCAGAGGGCCGGGCCATTAGATTTTCTTGCTGGGTCGTTTATTTTAAAGCATACCTGGCATTTCTTTATATTTTTTTTTTAGTATATATTTGTCGATCTGTCTCCAGGTAAACTGTTGTCTCATTCTCTCTTTAGTCATGTTAGTCTTACCGATACCAAAATGTCCAGAAAATGATTTATCATGGCAACGTATCAATATAATATACTTTTTTCTGTAATACGGCTAGTACTATAAGTTGAAGATTGTAGTTTGTGTCAGGTCCTGTTATTCATTTTTGGTATATGGTCCCATATACACGTACAACGTTTTCCCAGTTCTATCAGTATCGGCGTACAGCAGGGTTCAAACTTGCTACGTTATCTTTATTTGGTAAGCAAACGATGATCATTGATCCTCTTTTTGAAATGTTGCTATAATTTCATTTGTGTACTATTTTTGGTATTTTGTCATGTTGTTGTCTGGTAGTTACACTAAATTTGCACTATGTATCTATATTATGATCAATTTTACTCCTCAGCTCTTTGACATTGTCAATAGTCATTCATTAGGCCCATGCAACACTTGTAGTCTTCATCAAACTATTCCTTCTGTTGATTTTCATATGGTTGTTCATGATACTCATTTCTAGACATGGCTTCAGCGTTATTAGGTTTAATGCCAGGGCGGACAGCAATATTAAAGTCATACTAAACACCGTTACGTTCACACGACGATATCAACGTATAATTTGATGTTAACAACAGTCGCCAACAAATGCTGGCAATTGTTGGGAGCCGTAGATGGTAGAATGTTAACCATTTATTTGGGTCATAAGTATGGGCTAGTGGTCAATCTAATTTGGCTACCTAATGAGATGCTATGATATTTATCCTTTGAACTGTCAGGTGTGAAAATGACATTCTGTGCAAGTAAATTGTTCTCATCATTTTCCAATTACCTCCGTGTTGATATGTTGTCCTCATTGAAATAGAGGTTTTTTTCCTTATTCATCAGGTTAGAAACTGAATACATGCATCAATATCTATGAACATGATGAAGTTAATCTTATTTTGTGTATATGATAAAAATTTTATCATTCTGCATTATGTGATACAAATTCATTCCCATTCCCCAGCAGTTTCATATATTGTAGCATTTTCATTAATATTTTCTTCAGAATTCTAAAGTTAGATGATTACATAAGCAACACGATGGATGGCACATGTAGAGCAGGATACTTACCCTTGCAAAGCACATGAGATCCCCCCGGATTTTTGCCATAAAACCAGGTTCAATCCACCATTTTTCTTAAAATGTCCTGTTCCAAGTCAGAAATATGGCAGTTGTTATCAAATAGTTCGTTTCTATGTATGTTGGCGTTTGTTTTTGAAGCAGGTCAGTTTTTATGTTGGTTTGTTTCCTCTTATAGTTGATGTGTTTCGCTCGGTTTTAGTTTGTAACCCGGATTTGTTTTCGCTTAAATGATTTATGACTATTGAACAACGGTATACTACTGTTGCCTTTATTTTAGAGGGGTTAGGGTTCCTTAGTCTTTTGTTTTTGCGATGCGTTTTGTGTACTGATGTTTGTCTTTTGGTCTTTTTAGTTTTATGCCATTGGGTTGTCAATTTCGACATATGAGTTTGAATGTCTCTTTGGTATCTTTCGTCTCATTTTTAAATGCTTTGATGTATTTTTTTCAAAGGACTAAGTAAGATAAGCATGAGTCAAAAGACTGAATGTAAAAAACAAATCAGTTTTACGACAATAATTCTGTGATTTACAAATAACTTATTATAAATCTTTTTCTTGAAGTAAATATATATTAAATAAATTTTAAGTAAAAAATGGGGTCAAAATTTACAGTTATCAATCAATGTTGGACTGTTGTCTGAAAATGCACAAGAAAAAATGAATTCATTCAATGAAAAAATGTTCCCTATTGATTTGGGGTTAATGAAAGACCTGTTTCTCTATAAAAAAGATTTTCAGCAGCTTCTCAGTTAAAATATAAAATCTTTCTTTTATAAAATTGCCATCAGATATAAAGTTAATCAAATGAATTTGTTATAAAGATAGGAAAACTATACTGAAAAACTGCAACAAGTTTGATGATTTGTATTAATGAAACAAACCTGCTATCATTAATATGTATAAAGAAGGTAATAGCAAAAACAGTCACTAGTAAAGATAATTAAATCTGGTAGTAGTAAAGGCAAAAACATCAAGAATCTTATGTATGTTCTATAAATAGGTAAAGAAACCATTATTTTTTTCCCTTATTTTCTTAAATATATAAATAAATTGAAACAACAATACTGAACTCCAAGGCCAATTCAAAAAGGGAATTCCATAAAAAACAAACAAAAGCAAACGCTATAAGAATATATGGAGTAGGGGGTTAATGCATGGGCAGTGTTTTGTTTCATTTCCATGATATTTGAATATTTTCCCTGATTATATTGTTAAATAGACAAAATTTGGTCCACGAAGTTGTCAACTTTTTACAGCAATACACAAGAGGCCTACAACACTAAATGTTACCTTTCATCTTTCCTGTCAAATGTCTGCTATCTTCACATAATATAAGACTGTGAAAATCATCAAAAGAAAGGAAATTATCGATCTGAATAAAAATGTGTTTTTAAATAATACTGCATCTATGTACTAATAAAAGTTCAATATTAGGTTTAAAATAAATGAAATTCTAATAAACATTTTACTTATTTTCCAAAGAAAATCTTTAAAAGTAATACACAATTCATTTTCAAAATTAAATTCAACGAATGATTTTGTTTTATATATCTCCCTTTTGAATGTGACTTTATTTCTTGTTTCATTTTTTTGCAAGAGTTTGTCCTACAGTCATACATTAACCCAATATCACAGTCAATTTTAAACAAGTTTCATAAAAAAGAATCTGTAATTAGAAATGAGATCTAGATACTTTGTTTTAGATATTGACATATTTAGCTATTTCAAACGTGATCAACTAAATGACATGGACACATTATTCTGACTCCGAGCCGACCAAGTTTTGATCTTTGTGTCGCTTGGTTAGCGGAAAATCAGCAAATACAATTGTTAAGGTTTGTGAATTTAATAATCAGACATCTTTGAAGAATTGGGTGCTACGTAGTTGATACTAACACAAATACATTATCAATCCTTTGAAGGAAATCAAACAAATTTTCTTTTTGTCTGAATTTACCTTCACCATAAAAGCTACCAACCTTGAGTTT